TCGTCGACTTTACTAAAGCATTTGACAGTATTAATCATTTCATCCTACTTCGCAAACTCCAGTACTATGGCATAACTGGTCCCGCATTAACGCTATTACAGAGCTTTCTTCTTAATAAGTTGCAGGTGGTCTCGGTCGATAATTTTACATTCAGTCCCACCCCCATTACAAGAGGTGTTCCGCAAGGTTCAATTTTGGGTCCGTTATTATTTTTATTATTCATAAATGATTTACCACCTTGCCTTGATTATTCTTCTTGTTTGCTTTACGCTGATGACACGACTCTTTTTTCTCATCACTTGGATTTAGCGACTCTCGTGTCAAGACTTCAAGCTGACCTTAATTGTCTTGTTGACTGGTGCAACTCTAATAGATTGTTGATTAATCCTTGCAAAACCTGTTTTATGCTTTTTTATTCACCAAACAAAAAACTAGCATTTATTCCTTACTTTTATGTGAACTCAGTAGTTATTCCTTTAAGTGATCATACGTCATTTTTAGGAGTTATAATGGACACACATCTGAAATTTCAGCAACATATCAATTCTGTTTGTAAAAAGATTTCGTACGGTATCAGGGCATTGGTCTAGTCACGAATGTGTTTTAACATTAAAACTCTGAAGGCATTGTATTATGCATTCATACACAGTCATCTCAGTTATTGCATTACATCATGGGGTGATTTTATATTCGGTGCACATTTGGCCGTTAAAGGTATTGCAAAAACAAGCAATTCGACTCATAACTTTCCCTTCACGTCAAGCGCCATCACATGAGATTTTTCGCCAGCTTGACGTATTACCGATCTCCCAAATGTACGTTTACAATGTGTGCGTTTTGTTTTTCAAAATTTTCCACCGTACCTTCACTATCGACATCTTTCCTATTACCTTGTTGGATAATTCCAATAATACTAGATTCGTGGTCGCCCATAACCTGTTATTATCTAAAGTTTGCACTAATTATGGAAAAATGAGCATTGTTTTTTCATCAATTTCATTATGGAATTCTTTATCACATGATGTGAAAGACTTAATGCACATTCATGTTTTTAAGAGAAAGTTGAAAAAGTCTCTTTTAAACGTAAAACTGCTAGATTTCGTTAAGTTTTGATATCTTGCTTTGTTTGTAGAAAAAAAAAGTTCGAAATGTTCGGTGACTTGCACTTTCGTTATTCATATTTTAGCTTTTTCATTGTAATAACATAGGAGGTCCCACCTGCGGTTTACTACCTTGGGACCTCCTCCTGCATACTTACTCACAATGTACACTTCTGATGCTAATAAAGAAACATTGATTGATTGATTCATTGATTGATTAATTGATTGATTGATAGCGTTAGTCGTCAATCCAAGCATGTCGACGGGTCAACAAAGTGATCTCATCCAGTCAGACGGTTAGGCCTTGATCAACGCCAGTCAATTCAAGAATATCATCCATGGACGGAGGAGGCAATGAGGTGCGTGCACAGGCTACTTAGAAGGTGACAGTGGCATCTTCAAAACGCTTGCCCAAAGTAGCGATGGCCTGAAGGGCCGCCAGAGGCCACTGGTGGCCACAGGCGAGGAAGTATGCCTGTCTTCCGGTGATGGTACTGACATTGGTTGAGGGATAGTACTTAAGGTTGCCCTGGATGGTGAACGCCATTCCTGGGCAAATAAGTGGTTTGCGAAGCAACGTCAGTGGAGTCACCTTGTGGTTATCCAATAATGCCCGCAGGTAGCGCTCTGGCTTTGGTACTCGCGGTGGCCAGTTAGGATGCTGTGGCCACGATAGCAGAAGCAGCGGGATGCTGGAGAGTGTGTCCGCTCCGTAGTATGGTTTCTGCATGCTGGTTGTTGCGCAAAGGTTTCTTGAGCGGCTGCGCCATTGTAGTGAGCGAGACATACTCCAGCCTATGCGCCACAGCTGCCGCGCCGCTCTTCATTACAATATATACATATTTTTTTTTATGTGGTATATTTCTGGTCATCAGTTTTCCGCCATTCATCAAAAATATCTGATGTGCCTTAAAATCGTGTGCTCACTATGCTACATCACAAGTCTGTGAAATATCGCAGTGCTAGGATGACGAGTACACAATAAACAGTGCATTGCTTGTTATAAATCCAATTTTTATTGCCTCTAAGTTTGGCCACCAGTAACCACTATCAAAAGTAAAGAGGGGCTTCGCTGCCCTAACTTTTCTCGGGGGAAGGTCCGACACTTATCTTGGCACCCTGGTAGGTATGCCTATGATACTACCCATTATTCCAATGGTGACTGAACAATCGCAGCACCAGAGTCCCTTCTAGTTAATTTTGGGAAACTCTATGATCAGGGGTGGGGCGTCAACTTATTTTCCAATCCAACCTATATTATGGTTTTTATGGTATGCTTTTTACTTGCTGCCGTGGTTGCCCTTTCATCTTCAAGATGAAGACTAGTCAGTCTGAAACCACTAGATTTACTGTACAGTAAAAGCTCATTAGTTCAGATTTCATGGGATTAGAAAAACCATGACAGTTAACCAAATGCCAAATAATTGTAAATTCCAATAAAACAATAAACAAATGCCCATGACATCAACATGTACTTCACTTTTCTTCGTGAATGCGTAAATAGTTTTAATAAAAGTGCAATGTAAAAGCATCAATTTTTATCATCCAATGACTTTTTTCACATTACTATCCTGATGCAATGCCTACATTTTTTAATTAGACTGAAATGTGCTCTGCACCACTGCTTATACGCACATGGTAATACTTTCTTTGTGGGTAAAGTAAAGAAATTTGTGACATCCTTGATTGCCGAAAATTCACCTTGGTTGCCAATAACGTGACTGTGGACAGTGACCACACTTTTCTGAACTCCTGCGGCCAGAAGGTGTCGTACGTGGTGGTACAATTCGCAGTAATGATGGCAGCTATGCAGATGACCATAAACACCATTTCGAGCTCAGTGTGCTCCCGGATTCTTCGAATTAACTGGGTTACTGCCAAATATGGCTAAGTTAAAAAGACCCACAACTGGCCAGAACGAGTGATTAGATTCCGGTGAAAAGGAAAAGAGCCTGAATTATGGTGACAGGTGATAGCATACTTTTCGCGATCTGAGTCAGTCAGTCAGTCAAGAACTTTATTGAATGGTCCTGAGGAGTTTAAGCCACCGGGTGTCCACGAGGGACATTCTAGCAACCGCTACTGTAGGCGACACCCGAGTCGGGGCGGGAACGTCTGAGAAGGATATATATTTTTAAATCTCGTTCAAAAACAACCAAAGCTGGCATGTCGCGCCCCTGGCGCAAAAGATGCGAGCCAAAATTCGTTCCTCTAACGTGCTTAAGTGGTGAAGCGACGGCATATCAAAGCTGTCTAACTACGGTCGCACGTGAACATGAATGCATGAATTGTCAATTACGTGTAAACGTGTCTTTTAGTTTTTCGAAGACTTGGCTTAGCTTGACTTGGCTAAATTAAAGAAAAAAACTTCCTGTGCACGGCCAAAAGTACTTGCATAAGAAGCACCGAGGGAGTGCTTCAATTCTTGTAAAGCGCTAGAAAGTAGTGGTCGCAGGACTGCAGGCTTGACGAACACAACATTACGTGTTTGTATTTAGGGCTGAACTTTTTGTCAACGCTGCTGTTACACTGGCGAATAATCACTCTCGCGATCACATCCGCTCTTTGCAGCATGTCTCTTTAAGATAGCATAATCGCTACAAATAGAAAAATTGTAATTTTAAATGTTCTACGGTGTTTTATGCACTACCATTTCATGATTACAAGCTCTTACCGATAAAGTTTTCGTTGCACTCAAAAAAACAGGGACCATAAATATTGATTGTGTCCGATGACAAAACAAAACCTTTAACAAAAATGTAACGCCATTATATAATGCATATGCTGGCTAAGACCGAAGCACCCATTCGAATTATCTGATTTTTCTAATAAGCAAGGGTAAAAATAACGAGCTTTTACTGTGCATCTTAGTCCCAATTATCGACTTGAAGGAACCCCAGTCACTTAATTTGTTTTAGATTGGTTCGTTTCAGGTTTGCAGAAGCATTGGTGATCACACCAGTGACATACCAAAACAAAATTGTTTTTTCTACTAGGCTCTGTGACTGAACCTGCGTGTGACCATGTAAGCATTGTCCAAGTTATCAAACAGCGTGCTCCAAGCTTTCAAAAATGTTGTTCGTCTTCCTTCATTCATAGTCAAAGAGGATAGTGGTGTTGCTGCAATGCTACCTGTAAACTGCATTTTGTATGCCAGGGTGTGTATAACCCACCTTGGCATACAGCCCACATGCTAACATCAAAGGGGAAAAAAAATTAGATGCCCAAGAGTATCGTCATGAAAGAATCTGTCATGTATGAGCATGAAGCATTGTTATAAAGCCACCTTCCACGCCAGGATTTGCATGCAGTTTAACAACTTTAAAATGCCAGTGTCATACGTACGGGCACTTTTGATTGCAGGGCCGATTCGAATCAGGTGCTGCTAAATAGCCACAATTTTGTGATTGTGATTTGGCTGATGTCTGCGTAAAGCTCAGTTTGGATTAGGCTATAGCATGAAGCAGCAACAATCTTGTTGATTGCGATCAAGAAGTCTGATCTGGATCGACCCTCATCAAGATCTTGACCCTCGTCAAGATTCTCTCACACGGGTGTCTCTCACACGGGTGTCTCTCAAACCCGTGTGAGAAACAAACTCAAGGAAACAGTACTTCTTGCTTATATGAGCTGTCTCTTATAAGCAGGCTACTACCAAGTTCGCATTTTTTAATGAACATCTATTTTGATGCAGGCACACTGATGCCTATTATACTCGATTCACTTTTACATCAGCGTCCATTACTGCGAACAATAATCATACTGCTTCGTTAGCTCCAAAACTTAGCTATTTCTTCTGTGGTTTACTTACAATAAAATATGTTCGCGAAGAATGCTCGAGTAAGTGCACACAGTGAGATGTACGTACCAGTAGATCTTGTGTCTTTTAATTGTGCCCAGGCCCAAGCAGTCAGCCACAGCCACAGAGCAGTCCACCTAGCGTGGAAGGGGCTCGGCCGGAAGACAGTGGCCCCAAGGAGGACACAGCCAGTCCCGGAGGTGAGTGTGGGCGTGATTCAAATTTCACTTGTGGATTCAGCCATCTGGATCACAACCTTTGATTGCGATCCCCTCTAGCTGTTCTGCCTCACATAGTGTCTGTCAAGCAAGGACTTCCAGTTCTTTGCTGTCTCTGAGCGCAGTAACAACTTTTTGAGTATAAAGACCCTGCACAGAGAAAGTGTAAATCTAAGGGTTCATTTTCTTTGTTTGACACAATATTTATGATAAGTAGCACACAATAATGTTCCTTGGCACTATTGTCTGTTACTTCTCAATAATACCGCGTAGAGATAACCTAAATGCCATATATTGTTCAAATGGGTATAACCGTATTTACTCGCATAATCCTCGCACTCGCATAATTCTCGCACCCCCCACATCGCCCAAGAAAAATACGATTTCTTTTCTCCTCGAGTAATTATCGCACCCCCGAAAACTGCCGCAGTAATGTCGTCTGCTCGTTCCAGCCACTGTTGATGATAGCGCGTGCCATCTGGCGCCATTTCTTAAGCATCAAAAGTACTATTGCACGCAAATTTAGTCCAATCCAAGCCAAGCTGAAGTGGCCAATGCGCGTTGTGGCGTGTTTTGTATGCTGTGTAGGTAATCTTGGCACGTTATGGGGTGATACTGAAGCTACACGACTGCTTCAAGTTGCAAGTGATAGATCTTGCATTAAACGACGGCAACAGGGCCGCTGGTAGGCCCTTCGGAGTCTACGAGTTTTGTGTTCGCTAGTAGTGACGGCAGCTGAAAGCCACCAAGAAGCGTTGGGCTTGTTGTGGGCCTAAAACTGAGATTGATGGTAAACTTTATTTCTTCAGAAGGAAACTGCGGACGATTTTGATATATAAATTAGCCATCAGCCCAATACTGACATCCTACGCTTACCTTCTGAGGGCTCCTGTTGAGCGACGAACGCTACTCTTACGCCCGCAACGCCCACAGGCTTTGCGTATGGTATTCTGATTCTCGACTATTTGCTTGCACCTTTTGTGTCTCAAATAAATCTTGCCTTGTGTTGAACCTCTGCTTTTATTGTTGAGGTAAGTTCTAAAAAGTACTTCTTAAAGCTTGCTGTAAGTTGCTGGTGTGAGAATCCAGATTTGCGGCCACTTTGTTTTCTTTTTCGCTCTGTACGTTTTCGTGGAATGTTTTCCTCGCGTAATTCTCGCACCCCCAACTTTGCATCAGTTTTCCGGCAAAAAAAAGTGCGAGGATTATGCGAGTAAATACGGTACTAGAGCTGTGTGAATACCAAAATTTTGGGTGTGAAGTGAATTTGAATATTGAAGTGTAAGTGCAAATCGAATTGAATATTTGTTGAATATTTTTAAAATATTTGTCGGTATAATCCTAGAATATTTGTCAACTATATCGAAGCGAAATTGCAAAAAAAAATGTTGGTGAGGATTCATAAGCATATCCTTATAAAATAGCATCATGAAAGTGTTTCTTTTCGCTTAGTTGATGTAGCACTGGCTGGCTGGTGTTACATATTCATCCTGTCAAGAATGAGGCGATGCAGAGGCCGAGTTGTATTCATGTACATGATTTGATGCAACGAAAGTGTTGTTGACAACACTTTACACATGAAAGGCCAAGATGCTATTTTCTCGGCCTCTCCTAATTTTTCAACTTTTGTGGAAGTACAACTGAGGTGGTGGACAATGGGGTGCTTCCTTAGAGTACAGAGTTCGAAATCTGATTCATGCACATCAATATGAAAGAACATATAAAAGTTTGCGTGCTAAATATCCATGATTTCTGATTTTTGGACTTCCTGCTCGAATTTCGGGTTCAAAGCAGCAATAATTGAGTCTCCACTATACCTGTGCGCCAGTCCCAAGATTGTCGGCGGCGGTGTGCCGGTATTTAATGATCTGGTGGCAACATGACATCAACACGGGGTTCATAAGATCGACTGCGGCACGCCATGGAAGAGGGCAGGGCTTCAAGCGCTCAATGGAATAAATATTCGTCCATCGAATTTCGCAAAAATCTCTTGCTTCCCCGAAAGGGCGAAGCAATGGATGCGACAGCAACATAAATGTTATAACAAACTAAGGCTAGCAGCTAATTCATTTATAAGATCTTGCGTAACTGCGCAATACGCCAGTGTATATAAATATGGCTGCTCTCGGCAAAGAAGTTGTTTTCTTTCACTTTTTTTTTATCAATGGTCAAAGCAGGAAACGGTGCGATCATAGCTCATAGAAGGGTACACAAGCTGTTTACTAATAGCTGCTGAGATAGCGCCTCTTCCATTGGTTTTGTTCTCACCTTCACTACAATTATTACAGATTAATCTCACAAAGCACGCATACAATGTGAGCCATAAGCGCTGAGCCTATTAGGATTGTGGTCTTGTTTTGTATGATCTGTTATTTCCGTTTACACAATCAGAAATTCACAGAATAAAGCAAAACCATTTCATTGCAAACAATATTCATATAGGTGAGGAAGAACGAATGGGCGAAGGCATAGATAGCAAAGCATGCTAGGAGACAATTTACAACTGATTTTATTGTATGGGAACCAATTAAGATTATGTCTCCTAATTATGCTACGTGAATCACTGTTCTATGCTCTGGCGTCACGAAGTATGTGAAAAAGAAAAGCAGAGAGAGAAATGCTGAAAAAAAAGTGTTAAATTTTGTATGTTCAGAAGCTGCTTTGGTGCCCTTATAAAGACAGGGTGCGCAGACACGGACACAAGAAAGTGGTCAAGATACCAGGAACGTCGCTAACTGAAATAACCTACAGTGACGGAAAAGAGCGTACACATGCACAAAAGAAAGGCAAATTCGCATTACCATAATTACTCAAATATAACGCGCACCTTTTTCCCGATTAAGCGGGTTCATAAATCGCATTCGCGTTAGAATTGAGCGCAAAAAAAAATGAATACGGTCATTCTATTGCCATCGGCATTTCCAAAATGGCCGCCTCCTACGTGGGTCGGCATGGCCCGTCGGCCATTTCTGCCTATGTGTTTCCCATGTGCAGCACTTCATACGTGTGCTGAGGAGTTCGTCATCTTGTAGTTCATTAGCATCGACGGCATGGAAGGGCGGACTCCAAAAACTCGAGGAGTGCACCACAATGCCGCTTTTAAAAGAAAAGTCATTGTGTGTACCGAAACGGACGGAAATCGGGCCACATCGCGGTCATTCGGAGTTCCCAAATTGTTCCCAAAGTTCCCAATACTGGCGGAAACAAATGCAGAAGATTGTCGACAGCAAACATTCACGCAAAGGCTTCAGTAGACCACCAGGGTCGGTTTCCGCAAATTGAAGAGCTGCTCAGCGAGTATGTGCTTGAGCAGCGAGCAGCACAACAGCCCGTGACGACAGAACTGCTCTAAGTGCAGGCTATGCAGTTAGCTTTAGAAAAAGGGCTTACGCCGAGCCAGTTCAAAGCGAGCAGGTGCTGGCTAACTAACTTTATGAAGTGGAAAGGCTTTCCCCTCCGAAAGCGAATGGCATGGGCCAAAACTTGCCGGAGGAGTACGAAGAAAAGCTTCACAGTTTTCAGAGGTTCGTCCTAAACTTGGGGCACTACAACGGCTACCTGCTTGGGCAAATCAGGAAGGCCGATCAGATGCCTCTTTACTTCGACATGCCTGGCACCACAACCGTCGAGAAGAAGGGGGCGAAGCAAGTTTGTTTGCTGACATCGGGCCACGGTAAAACTAGAGTGACGGCAATGCTTCGTTGCACGTCAGATAGGCACAAGCTTCCCCCCTACCCCATATTTAAACGGAAGACGATCCCCAAAGGAGTCCTTTTCGCGAGTGGTGTGATTGTGCGGGCCAACGAGAAAAAGGGGTGCGCGTCGCAATCGATGTCTTACTTTTTTTTTTCCGTCATAGAAACCGGGTGCGCATTACAATCAAGGGCGCGGTAGAATAGAGTAAATACGGTAATGATGCCAAGCCTAAAGGAAGGGTGAAGCTGGGCACCTTAGTTGTTTTTCTTTCTTTCCTCCTCTCTTTATTTCTATTGGTTTCCTTCATCTATTCCGTGCTCTCTCCTTCTGTTTTTGGCTTGCTTCCCCTTTTTCTTTACGTTGTGTTATGTCGAGTGACGACTAAGTGCACTCCCAAAAATGCTCTGCACTCAGCCTCATCATGAAGGCGTTCGAGGAACATGAAGAGGAAGACTTCTTGGCACAAGCGCACACTCAGTATGCTATAGATGGCTATGCTACTTATGATTTTGCCTGCCTTGCAATGCAAATGCAAACATCTCTATCAGGGTGCAAAACTAGAAAGGATGCTGACAGAGGCAGGTTGTAAAAAGTTCTGACCGCCAAATGTTTATATAACTTGTGATACCAGGTATATGTGTACACCACGGTAGACTTGTTCCCGTTGTCGTACACTGAGCTGGCTTGCAGTTTCTGTCTAGGCAAGAAAGGGCAGGGACTATGACATTTGATAGTAGCCACAGCATTCAATGCGCATAGAAAACAACCCAATACAGATACAGTATTTTGCAGATAAATACATTCGTTACTAGTGTAAATCGCAGGAACACGAAAAATGAATGAAAGACTCTCTGCAACTGTTTTGATGCACTTGGCAGGTTTTGTCTCGCTTGGTGCGTTAGTTTCAGTTTTCTATGGCACTGCAGTCTGGAAAGTAGACTCTGAAACCACGCACGATATTTGCAATATTTATTTCATTTCATTTCATTTCATTTCATTTATTTATACTGTTAGCCCAGAAGTGGGCCGTTACAGGGTGGAAGTACAAACAATTATTTGCAAAAAAGAAGTACCGTACAGGTCTCGAGATAATTTCTCGGTATTATTGTGACCAGCAACTCGAAGTTATACATAACATACATAAATGGAACACACATGCGATGCAATACATACGCGCAGAACAGCACATGACGCATTTGAGGCGGCACTTTTGCACCGCGCTGAAGATTTGAAAGACAACTACTGCAGGATCATGCAACCAACAAAAAGTACACACACACGCAAAA